ATGAAAAAATAATAATTACAATCATACTCTTATATTTATAGGTTTAAAATGACAACGACGAATAGCATTGAACAACAGACACTACTAGAGGACATACGCATATAAAATACTAGCAATATGTATATTCACGATTAATAAATTTATTTTAACGTAGTCTTTTCTTTCCTGCTGAAGAAGAAAAATGGTGTGAGTGGTTACTTCACCGAACCAACGCCCACACCCTATATCATACTTCCTTGATTTTCAATTAATCGAATGAGCATTTAGAAAGCAATAAAAGTGCTCTTGTCACAGATTTTGTTTCTTTTTTCCTGATTATTTATGTTCTTATGTCTTCATAATGGCAAGTGTAGTGTTGAAACACTAACATGGTTTCTTAATGATATACATAATAAAGAATGGAGACGTCTAAGATCATAAATCAGCTTCTTGTTTTTTTGTTGTCCAAACTTCACTCATAATCTGACAGAATTTACCATAGTGAACATTTTTTGTGATCGAACGTTGCTTTGAAAATGAAATCCTGAAAAAAGAAATATTATGGTATCGATTTTTCATGATTTTTTCATCTACAGTTTAACACTCCCTTCAAGGGAAAGATAAGAACAAAATAATATTTTTTATGTCGCAATCTGAAGATCACATTCTGACCTCTCTTTAGTAAAAATATCAACGGTTTCTGTTGTGATTTGGTACAATTTTACTCGAAAGATGAATCTCCACAGAGATCGTATAATGAGAATTAAGTGGTTGATTACTATGGTATATCGACCATATTTGAAGGTAGGAGAGGAGAGTCATGATCATTTTCTTCGTAATGTTAGCCTTTAAGATAAGCAACAAAAACTGTTTAATTAGATTTTTTAATTTTGATTGGGAAGGACAGCTAGCGAAAGCATACACTGCCATTGAAGTACAAATTTTGACTAAAAACCAGCAATATTTCGAGTTCTACTCAAAATTAAAAAGTCCAACATCAGAATCGTGTTCAGCATGAAAAATCGAGTTTACCTATGTAGTCTCAAAACGTTCTGATCATTTTCATTTTCGTCTTAAAATTGAGCTGGAGTCGCCTTCAAAGGGAATATCAAGAAAATCATTCAATCAAAGCATGAACCTGACAGTGAAAAAGAAACGGTGATCTACTAAAAGGTTAGGAAACTTCAACCAAATTATAAATACAGATATTTATTTAATCTATTTCTTGACGTACCCATTAGAGAGATTCCGGCTCAATTTTTCGACGAAAATGGAAGTTTCTATTGTTTTTGGTCAACACGCAAAATCAACTTTTCTTAAAGATCAAGTATCTCAAGAAAAAATAAATTTCATTTCAATTGAATATTTCCTAAGCATCATAAAACCAATGTATACACAATTTTTATTTTAATTTCGATATCTTTATTTAAGTCAAATTCATAGTAAATGTTGGTGAGGCAAAATCTACGAAAAAAAGATCTTTTCTAATACTATCGAAATTTATTTCTTCTTCTATCGCCATCTGTTCTCTCTGTTTTACATTCGTCCTTCTAGACCCATTCATATAATAAACTATGGATGCATAACTCTTGAATCGTTATACGTATATCTTTTATAATTAAAATTAATTATGAAAACATCAATCGAACAATTACCTGTTGAATTATGGATTTCAATTTTTTCTTATTTCGAAGCACATGATCTTTTTCAAGCATTTACTAATTTAAATAATTATTTTGATCAATTAATTGCTTCTGATTATCTTTTATTTAATGTACGATTAGGAAAAAGTGATCATAATCCTTTAGAATATTCTATTCAACCATATTGGTCTAATTCAATACTCAATCGTATTATTAGTCTTCATCCAATTATTCAACATAAAACATCTCATATACCTGAATTTCTTCGTTGGCATTGTACAAAATTAATTCAATTAAAATCTTTAAAAGTTAAATTACGTCGACGAGAAATTCCAACTATATGTATTGCTTTACAACAACTAAAATCTCTTTCTCATCTTTTTATAGAATGTATACCAAATCAAATGTTACTTGAAACTATTCTTTCTCTACCTGTTCTACGTGTATGTCAATTAGTTTTCTTACGAGCAATAACATCAATTAATTGTTATTCAAATCAAATGAGTAAAATAGAAAAATTTTATATCAAACTTCAAGATGATTCACATAATTCGATTATTAATTTACTTTTAAGTCGAATGCCAAAATTGAAAAAACTTGAAATTAATAATTCTGAGAGTTATTTCAATGAACATGATTCATTATTTATTAAACCATTATTTATTCTTTCAGAACTTCAAACTATTAAAATTAGTTGGTCATCAAGAAATTCTGATCGACAATTTTTCGAAAATTTTCATCAAATTTTACCAAATTTAAAATGTCTTTATTTCAATTTTATTTATGATTATTTTACTGAAGACTTCTTCAATATATTAATTCATCATTGGTGGCCAACTATCGAAAATTTAGAACGAATCAATATATTTATTAAATTTCAAAGACCTCAAATGACAATCGATAATGATATGCAGATAAATTTAGATAAATTTCAATCAATTTTACTCGCTATGAATGACAAATATAATGGATTTGTCAATTTCAAATGGACTGAGAAATTTTTTATAGCATATAAAATGATTGAAATTTCTATTTGTAAATATTGTTAATAAATAAAACATTTAAATATAAATGTTCATAAGAAAAACAATGAGTTCATATGATGTTGTTAGAAACAAATCAAGTGACTAGATTAATATCAATGATCATATTCTAGATAGACTAAGCGCTGCCGACCTGGATTCACAAAAAACAAAATGTGGATCCGCAGCTTCATACATTGGCTACATAGAACATATTTTTGCTTGATCTTATTTACACCAAAACAATTAAAACTATTTTATACAGCTGGAGATTTTAGCGTTTTGGTTGGTTTAACGACTTTTGTTTATCACTTAACTGTTCAACATTCTTTTTTGTTAACATAATAGTTTTTTTGAAAAGGTCTAATGGTTTTCAGAGTATCCTAAAAGTTTCAGCTGGAAAGGATGCTCCTTCGTCAAGACATTGAATTTCTAAATACAGCGTTTCCCCTCCACAAAAATCGAATTTACTTGAAAATTCAATAACTCGAAACTTAATTATTTGGCTTTCCTAAAGAAACTTAAAATGGATCGAAAATCCAGTAAATCGATCATAACTCCGCAGTAAAGATCCATGAAGATGAACTGTTAAAGACTTTTACTAGTTTCGCTGAGGCTTACCTGTGAGAGAAATATGAGCTCAAATGTGGGTATCAGCTGGTGTAGTTCCCTTGTGAGAGTAACTAATAAATAGCTAAAAATCTTGATTCTTCACCCCAGTCAGACAAAAATTTCGAAAAACGCGTTTAAACGCACAATCGGGAACCGCGACTATGATCCATTCACGCTCATTAAAAAAACACACGAAAACGCGTTTTTTGTAACTTTCTGGGCGTCAAAACGACGAAAATTCCAGTTTTTGAGCGTTAATACGTATTGTTTTTAAGTTCTAGAATAATAGTGCGTTTTAACGCTCAAAAACTGGAATTTTCGTCGTTTTGACGCCCAGAAAGTTACAAAAAACGCCAATAAACACGTTTTCGTGCGTTTTTTTAATGAGCGTGAATGGATCATAGTCGCGGTTCCTGATTGTGCGTTCAAACGTGTTTTTCGAAATTTTTGTCTGACTGGGACGTGTTCATGCACACAGCAGGTGTCCCATACTGATGAAAAAAAAACTCGGCTCCAGGTCCAGAAAATCGTAGACCCGCAGCCTGCTACTCATCACTAGAAGGAAGAAAAATCTAATAATTACCATAATTGATACTACATTGAATGAATTTTCCCTAAGATTGTAGTGCATTCCCCTACCACACACGATCTCCTGATTATGCCAATAACACTATGAAAATATAATGTTGTTTTTAATAAGAATAGTTTATTTTATACTTTGATAAATTTCTGAAAGACATACTTTGTTAGTTACATGGATTCTCAAGTATGTCGCTAGTAATAAATATTCCAATTTTTACCTTCGTTTTTTTTTTTTACAAATTGTGCAACAATGAAAAACAGAACAATTATGAAAGCATATGCTGAACAATTACCTATTGAATTATGGCTATCAATATTTTCTTATATAGAAGTTCATGATCTTTTCCAAGCTTTTTCTAATTTAAATAATTATTTTGATAAATTACTTTCTTCCAAACATCTTTTATTATATGTTCAATTAGGATCAACAACAAAAAATAATAATTCAAAATTTAATCAATCTAATTTTAATTGGTCTAATGAAATACTTGATCGTATAATTTGTATTCAATCATTTTCTGAATATGAATCAAATGATCTTTTTCAATTTCTTCAATCTTATTCGAAAAAACTTATTCAATTAAAATCATTAATAATTCAAGCAAGTATACAAAACATTCTATCAAATTGTAATATATTAGAACAACTTCATTCACTTCATAATATTTCTCTAACATGTATACCATTTCAAAAATTACTTGAAACTATTCTTATTATACCAACTCTTCGTATATGTCGATTAAAATTTTGGCGACCTATATCAATTATTAATTATCATTCAGGTACAAATAGTAATATTGAAATACTTTATATAAAACTTTTAGATGATCCAAATCATTCAATTTTTTATTTACTTTTATCACATATGCCAAAATTAAAGTATCTTGAAATTGAAAAATATTCTTCTGTACAATTATTCAATCAAGAATTATTTATTCTTAAATATCTTCAAATATTGAAATTCATTTGGAATCATCGTCAATATAAATCAGATTATTTTAAATATTGTCATACAATTGTACCATATCTAAAAAGTTTATATCTTACTATATATTATATTCAATTTAATGAAGAATTTAATAATAATTTAATTGATTTTTTATGGACATTATTAAAAAAAATGAAATCAATTAAAATTATCATTCTCTGTAATCAATTAATGACAACAGTCAACAATTCTATAGAGATAAAATTAGATACTTATTGTCAAATGCTATCATTTGAATTAAATAATCGATCTGATGCTAAGTTTTACATTAAATGGACTGAAGAAAAAGCACGTCAACATAGAATTCAAATTATTTCTCAATAATCAAAATATTTTGTTTGTCGTTTTTTTTTTATGATGTTGAATAAATAAGTCTTATTTAATTAAAACAAATTTTTTCTTTTAATTTGTGTATAAGATCAAGTCGATAGGTACTTAGGGCGTACCAAAAGTTCGTGTCTCAACGTTGCTTACCATATAGTAAGCTTTAAGAAACTTTTTTTCAATATAGT